CAGCGCGCTGTATACTTACCCGGACTTGTGAGCGTCAGCCCGGGATGTTTCCAGCGCGGCTCTCCGCTCTCTCAGCTGGGTCTGCCTCTCCACCAGGTCGCGGATCTGCTTCTCCACGGCCTCCAACGTGTCCTCACCTGCACTCAAAGGTAGACACACATCCGCCATTAAAGCAAGTAACAGTGAGTAAAACAATGTTATTGTGTGTGAATAGAGTATTAGCAATGTAAGCGAGATTAGCGGCAACCACGCTGGCGATGCTAGCGGGCTATATGCTAATAGCTAATAGCGGACTCAGGAAATCAAAATAAAACTAGTGATAATGAGGCGCTCTGATTGTTTTTGTTGTAGAATACGATCGGGGATATTTTCACACATTATAGAAACGAAAATGATGGTGTATAAAATTGATTTTAAGATAAAAAATAGACGATAAAGAATTAACTTGACGGAGCTTAAAGTCAAATCACAACGCACCTCGCTTTTCAGACCGATGAACTTTGTAAAAATCGACGTGTTCCAGAAAGGCGGGGCATAGAGGAGAAACAATAATGCACAGTATGTGGAAAATAATGTGTTTTTTTTAACCTTAAACCGCATAAACACATTTCATTACACCAAATACACAAAATAATGTTCTTTTTAGCAACATCATATGACCCCTTTAACAATAACACAGAATAGTATACAGCGCACAATATCGGATTTGGATCGGTCTGGTCTGACCGATACCCCGATCCAGCAGAAAATGGCAGTAACGGAGCGATACCGATAATGAATATCAGATCGGCCAACCTTAAAGCACATACATTCCGATATTCTCAGATCTGTTTCAGGCCTCATTCATATGTGGAAATAAATCTGATAAGAATCGGATAAGTGCATTTGCACCTGCTATGTAAGCGGACAGATTGGATATTCCCCTGTTAATGCAAGTTGGATGGAAGTGGATGAAACATCTCTAGTTGACTAGCAGAGTCATTTTGTTCATTTTGTTCGTTTGTGTTAAATAAGAGGCGATCTAGCACTGAAATGTGTTGCTTTTGAAATCATGCTGAGTGCTTGTTGCCGCTGTTATCAGTGATGGCGGCTCATGCATAGACGAGCGCTTCAATCTATTGCTAACTCTTGTGGAGGCTCTCTATTCATTCTGGTGAAATCACAAAAAATGCACACAAACATGTCCCTGCTCTTGATATACAATCACTGATTAACACATTGGGTTTTAATGAGGGAAAAAACGCTCCAGTTACTGACGTAACCTCGGTTCCCTGAGATAAGGGAATGAGCGTTGTGTTTACCGCAGAATGGGCAAACTCCTGTTTACTCTGTTACTGAAGTCTGATTTGTTCATGTTTGTGTAGCTGCACAAACCAATGGTGCTTTAGCCCGCCAGAAGGGGCGGAGCCAACCTCTATATAAGTCGGCTTAGAGCGCCATTTCATCAGAATCATTAGACTGAAGCGACAGTCATCGATTCGCGTGCAGCTTATAGCATGGCGAGTGACACAACGCTTATCCCTTATCCCTTATCTCATGGAACCGAGGTTACGTCAGTAACCGGAGCGTTCCCTATCGTACAGTATCTCCCGTTGCATTTAACGCAGTGTGGGGAATGCATCCAATCATGCTGTGCTATGAGCAGAGACCGAGCAACCTGCTCTGCGAGCCCAGTCTTGGAGCACTTAAGTTAAGGACTTAACTAAAGAACCAAGGCTATAGCATCCACTATCCAGCAAGTAAGTCTCTGCTTCGTAACTGGCAGCCCTTTTGAGAGGCCTCCAAAGCAAACAAAGAGCTGCTCTGATTGTCTAAACAAAACAGACTAGAACGCTCAAAGTACACTCTAAGAGCCCTCACTGGGCAGAGTGGATTAGGACCCTGCTCACCGTCTGCAGCGGGGAGTTCCAGGAGTGTAATAACCTGGGCTCTGAACGGAGTTGAGAGTGGAGGGCTGCATTGGGTTTGGGCTCCCGCAGGACCCAACGCAAATCTCGCGGGATTGGGGGGTTTTACCATTGCTGCAGGTGGGAGTGGGCGGTCAGAAAATTTTGTGGGAGACCCGCGGGGCCAGTGGGATTTGACGTGTAATAGAAATGGAGTTCCAGAGAATGTGCTTCAATGGTGGAAGTTCAACAAAGAACGCTTCCCTGTCCTCTCAAAATTTGCGCGTTTTATTTTGAGCATTCCCGCATCTAGTGCGCCGTCAGAGAGGGCATTCAGTGTGTGTGGGAGGATCTTGGAAGAAAGACGCACAAGTCTGGGACCGCAGTCAGTCAGCAATATACTTTTCCTTATAGTAATATGATTCAATTAATTTGTTTAAGTAGGGTGTGTTCTTTTTTTAGAAGACTATATTTTATTTTATTTTTGCAATAGCCTGTTAAGCAAGCTACATAACTGTGAATGTGAGTGAGTGGCGCACTCAAATCCAAAGCTGTCAGCGATGTGAAATCATTGGAAATCAATACTGTTTAAATACTAAATTCTAAATTTAAATACTGTTTTGACTTACTTTCGTCTCTGTGACAACTAGAAAGTAGACACAGAAAGTTGCGCTTGCAATGCTGTTTTATGTAGAGGGGTAACTATGGTAACCGCTGTATTTCTGCTGTTCCATAACCGTCACCTCCTGTCAGAGAATGAACTTGCGTTTTTATTCAGCCCATCTGCTGATTTTGTTCAGATGTGAAAATCAGACCGAATTTTAATGCAGCAAACACGCAGTGCTGTCAGATTTAACTGGACGCTAATATGAATATTTCAATAAATATATAAATAAGCTGATAGGCGTTCAAAAAAACTTTTAAACAATTCCGACAATAAGGTATCTAGAATTATTCAGGTATTTTGAAGTGCTCACGATAACACCGTGCACGACACTGACACTGTTGTTACACTGGCACAGCGTCTTCAAAGCGCTCATGAAATGCCAAATTAAATTGACAAAACATAATGCAGCAACCACCATTTCAACATCATCTTTTTAAAATCTTTTTAAATTGATAGTGTTGTGCCGCTTTGACACAAGGGGGAGACGGGGTCTTGCGTAATTTGCGTGGCCCGTAGTAAACGTATTTGGCCGATCGGCTCTGCCTACTATTAGCTTAATTTTCTTCATGCAAAATTCTAATTGATTTTTTTTTTCTTTCTTTCTTTCTTTTTTTGAAATTATGACTTTGATATGTTGTGGTTAGATTCCTATATCAAAACAGCAAAATTCATTTGATTATTCCTGTGATAATGATAAAATGTTATATCCTGTCATGACTAGATGGCACAGAACAATGATGACGAGTGTTACGTTTGTCACTCTGAGGGACATCTTGTGTGTTGTGACGAGTGTCCACGAGCTTTTCATTCACACTGTCACCTACCAGCTGTACACGGAGACTCACCTGGGTGAGAGAGACAAACAGATAGAAAATCATTAAATCAGCAAGTGTGTGTGTCGTACATTGATTCTGTATATGTGTGTGTTTGCTTGTAGGGAATGGATTTGTACCTTTTGCGTGTTAAGAACCAGTCAACAATGGCGTGACTCCAGTAACATGTCTGAACAAGAGGCTTTCGATGCCCCAGTGTCTCAATATAGATTGGTACACACACACACACACACACACACACAAACTCAGCACCTTAATATAGAAGATAACCACAAACATTTAAGGTGTTCACATTTTGTAACAGCCTTTGATGTCTTAAAGGGGTCATGTGATGCGATTTCAAGTTTTCCTTTCTCTTTGGAGTGTTACAAGCTGTTCGTGAATAGATAAGATCCCTGAAGTTGCTTTAAAAAAGCATCATATGACCCCTTTAAAGTGCTGTCTACATAGGCTGCTCAGCAGGTTTAGAAACAGAACAATTATTTATGGGCCTAATTGTGGATATGTGTGTTGTATGTCATCTGTAGCACTGCCACTACCTCCTGTTATGTGTATACAGAGAGGACATCCAGAAGGTGTTTGTTGAGGATCCACAGCAAACGGTGAGATTGTCTCTTTATTTCATCTCTCTGTCTTTTACATTTGCTACTCTTTTCATGCCTTAGTTTAATTTAAAATAGTTTACAAGTAGAATAAAAGTGATGAAAGATTTGAAATTTAAAATAAATAAATAAAAACAAAAATAAAATGACTTCTAGGTGCCCAGATACTCCGAGTTCATATCTCAGCCGATGTGGCTGGACAGAATAAAGCAGAAGTTGGAAAGTGGAGAGTATCAGATGGTAGGAGCATTCGTCTCGGACTTCCAGCTCATTTTCAGCAACCGCAGCACGTTCAATAGGGTAAGATTCACTGAAACACGTTACATAAATAAATCACCAAAAAACAGATCAAGACCTTGTTAAAATTAAGTTGTTTTCCAATGTCTTATACATGGACGCATATCTTTGGACATTATTGATGATTATTGTTGAGATGTTTAACTTTTGGACGTGTGATTTTTTGACAGATTTTTTTGTATTTTGTTCTCTTGCTCTCTAAAGGACAATGTGTTTGGCCAAATGGGTGCCAGGCTGAAGAAAATGTTTGAGGAAGAGTTCCAGAAAATCTTCAGTATCCAATAACAACTCTCTTTTACAAGTTTTTTTAAAGATACAATTGAGATCTGGATATCTTTGAATATTCATTAGAGTTCATTTTAATAATGTATAAGATGTATAAAAAAAATTATTTTGCAGTCCTGCAAAGGACAAGTGGTTTGGAGAATGGATTGGTTACTGATGGCAATTTGATTATCAGTACAGAAGATCTGCTACTATCAGTTTTTTCTCCTACTCCATACAGATCTTAATCACTGTCAGTGTTCAAGTACCTTAAAGGTGAAGGGTGCCATTTCTGTAATTCCAAGAATAATGATTGTTTTAAATAGGTTCCTAAACAATCCGACCACCCTTTCTGACCTGCCCCGTCTTTTATTGCTCAAAAAACAGGCAGCCCCACAGCCAAACACACAGCATTAGAAACACTACAGATCCAGATAGTTGCACTCTTTTGGAAATTAATCTAAAAATGTCTTATTCTTTTTTTTTTTTTTTACATCTGAGTATTTGCATTTTAAGCTGTGATAAATGATAAATTCACTTTTAAGACCTAAATCAAAATATATTGCAGCATTTTGTTATTTGAATCATTTGACGTTCAATGTTCTGTTGTTTTTTTTTAAATACATAAAAACATATATACATGTACATTTATACATAAATAAATTGATACCTTTATGTAAAAATTTTGAGAATCTTTTTTTTTTTGTTTATTATTAACAGAAGTAGTCGTTTTTTTTGTATATATTGTTTTGTGTAGTTTCTTTTTGTTCTGTAGCCTTTTTGTATTTTATTATGTAAATGTTGTGAAGTATAATAGTATTTGAGTGACTCACCAGGTATGTAGATATACTTAGATGACAGGTGACACGTGGTTAGGTGAGTAAATTCAACAAAATGTTTTCTATTACACCTGGGTTTCCCTTAAGGGGTAATTCACCCAAAAATGACTACTTACAGTAGTATGAAAACAAATACTATGGACGTCAATGGCTACCAGCAGCTGTTTGTTTATTAACATTCTTCAAAATATCATCGGTTTTCCACAGAAGGGGTTTGGGACAACTTGAGGGTGACTCTTTTACTGGGGCACTATGTATAAATAGAAAATAGGCATTCTTGATATTATTCAAATATTTTTATTGATTTTCAATATTATACAACAATCAGAACACAGACATATACAGCACTCTTCTTCAGAAGTCAGAAAGAGCTTTATTGCCAAGTATGTTTGCACATACAAGGAATTTGTTTTAGTGTCACAAGCTTCCAGTACACAGAGACAACAACAACACACAGATAATAAAAATAAGATGTGAATAAAATACACATGCATAAATATAAATTAACCACAAAAAAAAAATAAATTGTATGTACAGGTGTGCTATAGATAGAATAGGAATAGAATAAAATAAAATAAGTTGTAGGGATGTACTAGGATTTAGGGTGATAAGTATATGGTTATTGCACATATTTTTATTGCACAGTGGGAGAACGTTAACTGTTCATGAGGTAGATTGCCTGGGGAAAGAAACTGTTCTTGTGACTGGCTGTCCTGGTATTCGGTGCTCTGTAACGCCAACCAGATGGCAAAAGTTCATAAAGGAGATGACTTGGATGTGAGGGATCCAGAGTGATTTGTCCTATGCCCTTTTCCTTACTCTGAATGTATACAGTTTTTGGAGGGTAGGCAGGGGAGCACCAATAATCCTTTCAGCAGTCCGAACCATTCTCTGTAGTCTTCTGATGTCTGATTTTGTAGCTGAACCAAACCAGACAGTTATTGAAGTGCACAGAACAGACTCGATGACGGCTGAGTAGAACTGTTTCAGCAGCTCCTGTGGCAGGTTGAATTTCCTCAGCTGGCGAAGGAAGTACAACCTCTGCTGGGCCTTTTTAACAGTGGAGTCAATGTGAGTGTCCCACTTCAGGTCCTGAGAGATGGTGGTGCCCAGGAACCTGAATGACTCCACTGCAGTCACAGTGCTATCCATGATGGTGAGTGGGGGGAGTGCAGGGGGGTTCCTCCTGAAGTCCACGATCATCTCCACAGTTTTGAGGGTGTTCAGCTACAGGATCCTCCCATAAGTGCCTGGATTGTCTAGATGTTGCAGGATATAATGCAGTCCTATATTGACTGCATCATCCACAGACCTGTTTGCTCGATAAGAAAACTGCAGGGGGTCCAGTAATGTCCTTCAGATAAGCCAACACCAACCTCTCAAATGTCTTCATGACCACAGACGTTAGAGCCACAGGTCTGTAATCATTAAGTCCTGTTATCTTGGGTTTTTTTGGGATGGGGATGATGGTGAAGCATTTGAAGCAGGCAGGGACTTCACACAGCTTCAGTGATCTGTTGAAGATCTGTGAGAAGATGGGGGCCAGCTGGTCAGTACAGGTTTCAGACATGATGGTGTCACACCGTCTGGGCCTGGTGCTTTTCTTCTCTTGTTCTTTCTGAAGACCTGGCGCACATCATCCTCACTGATCTGAAACATAGGAGTAGGGGAGAGGGGGTTGCAGGAGGTGTTGATGGTTGTGTGGAGAGATGTTCAGAGCGGGTGTGGGGTGTTAGACTGGGAGTTTCAAATCTACATTAAAATTCATTCAGGTCTTGAGCAAGTTGTTGATTGGCCTCAGTGCTGGGGGATGGTGTCTTGTAGTTGGTGATGTCTTTCAAGCCTTTCCACACTGATGCAGGGTCGTTGGCAGAAAACTGGTGTTCTAGCTTTTTAGCGTAGTTCCTCTTGGCCACTCTAATCTCCTTATTCAGTGTGTTTCCTGATTGTACAAGACTCTGTGCCCCTTTTGTAGGTGTCCTCCTTGGCCTGATGAAGATGACGAAGTTTTACTGTAAACCATGGCTTATCTTTGTTGAATGTTAAATGAGTGCTGGTAGGGATGCACATGTCTTCACAGAAACTGATATGTGACCCTGGACCACAAAACCACACTCTAAAAAACGCTGGGTTGTTTTTTCAACCCAAATGCTGGGTTGAGACCGCTGGGTAAGGACGTTGGGTTGTTTTAACCCAATTTTGGGTTGAAAATTGGTCTTGATCAATAACCCAGCGGTGCTGGGTTGGGAACGCGGACGTGAAAGAGAAGCACGCACGTCACATTAACAACGGACGTATCTCGACGAGACCAGTGCGAGAAGCCGCCATTTTCTCAACGTCTTCAGATGGAAGCGAGTGCGAGTGAAAGACGGTTTATTGTAAGTAAAGATTAAAAATGTAAAGTCATCATTCATTGTTTGAGTCCGGTAGTATCTTGAGATTTCATGGAAGGCGGAAATATTCCGAAAAGCTTATATTGAAAAATACACGGATGCGGATTTCGCCTCAGAAATAGTCTTAAGTAATAGAAATAGAAATAGTCTAGTCTCTTTTACTGAATGGAAGAGGTGCTTTTAATATTAACGTCAGTAAGTGTCTTATGTCAAATTTACATAAGATTTTACAATATTTAAATTTTTTGAGGTGTTAAGAGAGGGTTATTAACACACATACATGTTAATTCGTTATCTTTTTTTTTTCGCTGTTAAATTTAATGTATTTTCCTAAAGGAAACGGCGTTATGTAATAAAGACTAGCCTAATTATTTTGAGGCTGATGAAGTGATAATTGTTAAAAGTAATGTT